CGCGTTGCAGAGCACAGGCTCCGGACGCGCAGGCTCAGCGGCCATGGCTCACGGGCCCAGCCGCTCCACGGCATGTGGGACCCTTCCGGACCAGGGCTCGAACCCATGTCCCCTGCAACGGCAGGCGGACTCTCAACCACTGTGCCACCAGGGAAGCCCTCTCCAGGTATTTTTAAATTTCTCCTTTAATTCCTAACACTGGTGCTAGCAGGTTAGAAAGCGACTGCAAAAATGGTGGCTGCTAGTGCCGGTGCTAACAAAATAGATGGGGCAGAAAGCAAAAATGGTACCTGCCAGTGCTTCCATTCCTGGAGAGAGTCCTAACAGATCTCTCCCTTGCTGGCAGATGCTTTAAAATTAACAAATGTATCACATTCACATATGGTCTAGGCACTTTTCAAACTGTGGCTTTTGTGCTGGATTGCCAGGTGGGTGAGTCTGCATGCAGGTCCTGTAAGAGTGGAATCTCCATTCCTTACAGCCCTTTGGTTTTTCTGGATGTCAGCCCTGTTGGTTTTCAAAGCCAGATGTTTTGGGGGCTCATCTCACCAGTGCAAGTCCCAAGTGTTGGGGTGACTGATGTAGGGCACAAATTCTTGCTCCTCAGGGAAAAGCTCTGTATCTTTGAGATCCCTTCCGATTGTGGGTCTCCACACCAGGGGTGGGGTTTTCGGTGAGACTGTGTCTCTGCCTCTTTTACCCATCTCAGTGTGGACCTCTTGTCCTTTGCTGTGGAGGAGCTGTTTGGCTAGTTTTCAGGTATTTTTTTTTTATAGGGAATTGTTCCTTAAATAGCTGTAGATTTGCTGTGTCCATGGAAGGAGGTGAATTCAGGACCTTCCTAGGCTGCTCTCTTGAACCACCTCCCCCACCCACCCTTGTTCTTTTTATTATTCTTCTCGTTCTTGTTATCCTCCTTCTTCTGTATCAAAAAATGTATAATGTGTAGACCCTATGGGGAGAGAGACACAATTTAAATACAGTACAATAAATGGAAACAGTGTAAGAACAAAGCACTATTGGAGCCCAGAGGAGGCCTCCTCACAATTGAGAATTAAGCTGCAGTTTGAAGGATGAGTAGGAGTAGAAAGGAGTGAACATGGTTCCTTATTATTTCCATTAGCATGATAGCTAATGCCAAACCAGAGTTGGCCTGGCTGATCCCAACTACTAATCATGCAGACTCCAATCCTTCAGACTTTAGCACTGATTGAAATGTTGTATATCTGCAGCCTTCATTATATAGCCATGAGCTATGTGTGGTTATTGAGCACTTGACATGGGCCTAGTGCCACACTAAGTTTAATTAATTTAAATATCCATATATGCATAGTGACTACCATATTGGATTGTACACATCTAGCAGGTGCTCTAGATCCCTAAATTACAGTAGCTGGTTCTAGGCCCAGTGGGGTCTCAGCGTCTGCCCCAGCTAGCTTTCTAGTCCTCTCTGTAGACATTTGCCCAGGTCACCTCTCCTGCTCTGTGCTTCTTTGAGCTTCACTGCTATAGGAGCTTTGGCGCTGTGTCTCTGCATAAGGAAACCATTTCCTTGTCTAGTTCCAAAATGTCTCTGGTAGGCTTTGGGTCAGCCCACTTTGATCTGTAGTTACTCCTTCTAGGGGTCTAAGTGCTATGGGTGCTGGGAAATTCTACTTTCTCATTGACTGATTTCTATTAGTCCTATTCATTTCCCTCAAAGCACGTGCATGGGCTGGTAGTTTAGGCTCGCTCAGCCATTGAGTGAAACTTGGCTTCTTCCTCCGCTGTTTTAGGCTGACTTCTGGGCCTCATCTCCTTAGGGGCTGGGCAGCTTCCAAGAATAATGGCGGCATTCAAGGAGACTCTCTACCCCATGTCAGTTCCCTTCCAGAGCCAAAAGAAGGCTATTGTCTCTTCCTGTTTCAAAAACCTTCAGCTCCCTAATGAATCTCTTATCCACCTATAGTTTTCTAGAAACCGGAAACTCCATGTTTACTTTTTCAACTGCCTCTCCTTCCCCAGCACCTTTCACTTTTTGACCATGTAGTTGCCTCTACCTGGCATATCCAAATTAAATGCTCATCTCTTCTATGAAAACTTCTGTGATTGTTCTAGCCTTTGCTTATCTCCCTTCATGAGTGTTTACAGTACTTTAGTCTCTACCACACATCACAACAATTGTGATCTATCTTGTGATAGTCTTACCTGCTAACTTGATTGTGTCACCTGGAAGAAAAGACCTTTTTCATATTTCTCACAGCTCTTGGCATACTGTCAAACATGTAGTAGGTACTCAAGACACTTATTTGCTGTTTTAACAGATCTGATTCAGAAATACTCGGAAATAGGGTTCAATTGTTTGGAAATCATGTTTTATATGCTTTTAAGTTTTGCTCTCATATTGCTTTTGAAATATAAAAACAAGAACTTGTGTTCTGATATATTTTGATATAAACTTAAGCAGTAGCTTAAAGAATATCACGAAGATTGAATACTGACTTTCAGTGAGGTCATATGCAAGATAATTCAAGTGGATTGTAGTGGATTGTAATTCAGGCACAGGTGATCGGTTTTGAGGACATTCTATCTGCATTTATTTGACAAAGCACAAAGATCACCAAGGAACCAAAACTGGGTTATGGAACTACTGCCCCCAAAATCTCTGAAAAATGAAGCTGTACTTCCCAGCTTTCCAGAATAACAGTTTAAAGATTGCTTCATCTGGTCCCATGCCTGAAGTTCTCATCATGACAGCTCATAGGAGAGACCTATCTGTTGGGAAATCTTATTATGTGTTTTACTGTATTTCATACTTAAACACCACTGTGGTACAGAACTATTTCAAAAGCCCCTGTGAATGGACAGAGAAATATTACCCATTTTCAGGTTGGTTTTCCAAGCAAATGATTCTTGTGAGCCATTTTGAAGAACAAAATAGAAATGACCAAATTCCACGCATATGGTAGTTTGCTTTCTGGATGTTTGATTTCCAGATTGACTCTGGAAGTATACCCAAAGTCTCAGCTCTGCTCTTGTATTAACTGAAGAGAACATATGGGAGCAAAAGCCCAGACACACCCTCACTTTAGTTCTCTGGACTTGCATCATTCCAGGAACTAGCAGTTATTTGCACTTCCTCTTTATTACTCCATCCCTCAAGCTGTCCCCAGTAGCCATTTCTGCATGTGCCAATACCAAGGGCTTCAGGGTGCAGATAGAGCCTGAATTTGCCTTAGCTTGGTGGTTTGTAACAACAGCAGATAAAACCCAGAGAGGACGAGTGAGGAAGTGCAGGAGTCACTAGGGTCTGTGTTAATAGTTAATTTGTAATCAGTAGCCAGTTCTTTGCTTTATTTTCCGCAAGAGTCATCAGGAATGAACCTAATGAATGAATTAACTAATTAATCCCTTTCAGTTAGCACATATTCAGGTTGTGCAATGTGGAGATAACTGTGTGGCTTTAAAAAATGACACATTGGGACTTCCCTGGTGGTCCAGTGGCTAAGACTCCATGCTCCCAATTCAGGGGGCCTGGGCTGGATCTCAGGTCAGGGAACTAGATCCTGCATGCTGCAACTAAAGATCCCACATGCTGCAACTAAAGATCCTGCATGCTGCAATGAAGACCCCACGTGCCGCAACTAAGACCCAGCGCAGCCAAATAAATAAACAAACAAATAAGTAAATAAATATTTTTAAAAAATGACACACTGTCTCAGTCATCAACTTACTTAAAACTATTAGCCTTTCGTGAGAACAGTGCCTTGAAGAGTTGAGGACATTGGGAACAATGTCAATGGTCAACTAATTATCGAGGCAAATGATTTTGAGTACTTTTTCTTGACTCTTGCCGAGTCAATAGTTGTTACTGATACTGCTCAGTTGTTGTATGTTGGAGGACTTAATGCTGAGTTGGAAGTGACTGAAGAATTACCTCTGAGGAGGTGAGTGATATGAACTCCTGGCAGATTGCTCCACAGCCCAGTGAATCATCAAATATGTCATGAGCCACTATTGTGTACCAGACATTGTTCTAGACTCTGGCAGAGTTAGGGCAGTAAATAAGATGAAGTCTCTGCTCCTAGGAAGTTCATACTCTAGTGGGATCCAGAGCACAAGTAAAAGCACTGTATATTGAGAGGGGCGGGCCAGACCTTCATTGGAAGGAGAGAGGCAGAAAACAAGTGTAAAGATACAGATAGGCTGGTGACGTTTTTCATAAAACGGGAATGATTTTGATGATTTGGTTTATCAGTTTGTTTGCATATCCCTGCGTATTTCTGGAAGTTAACTATGTTTTATTGACATGGTCACAGCACAGTGTCTTCACAAATATCATGCACAGGAAAAGCTTTGCCTAGTTCTTATTTCATCAGAGAAAGTGGAGAGCCTGCTGAGTTCCTGCCACTAAGAAGCTTCACATCTTCCAATGTCAAAAATTGTAATTCCTTCTGACCTACAGATTCTCTTAATCTATGAAAACAGTTACAAGAATGGAGGTCACTTCTTTCAACTTCTTAATTCATCATGGACCATCACATGTGGTTGAGCAGCCTGTGGCCAGCACAAAAGCACCCCTCTGAAGACATGAATAGAGGCTGCAGTACAGCCCGGACTTGACGTGGGGCTCAACATGGGGCAGGAGATGCCTTCATGCACTTCCTTCCTAGGAGAGGGCTCCTTTTTGGACCACACAGCTGAGCTTGGTTTCATCTGGGATTACTACAGCCCAGAGATTCTCTTGCTTGTTTTAGAAATGATTAAAGTTATAAATTTTGAATATGATGCAGACAATCATATTACACATTTAAGAGCTTTATTGTATCTGTTTGCTTATATGCTGCTTTAATCTACAAAATATTTGCAGGTAGCTCCAAAGCCAAATAAAAGTGATTTTCTTTCTGGGGGTGCCTCTTCCATCTGCACAGATAATTTGGAGTTTGCTGTATTATAGATACATATAGTTTTGGGTTTTAATTTTAAACAGCATAATACGAGATGACTTTCATTCTCCTCAGGTTGGTTAAATCTCGATTTAAGAGGTTCTGCCCCTCAGAAGTTGGACTCCTGAAAAATGCTGAACGAGAACAAGAATCAGAAGAAGAGATGTGACTTTGAGCGTCCAGTCTTTCTAGCTGAAATTTCTCTTTTTTTAAATTTTATTATTTTTAATCACAGTTTTGCCTTTTCACATTTTGTTTGGAGAACAACTGGTTGAGAATGATTCTTGGTGTCATGGTATTTGGGGCTTGGAGTGGCTCTCCCCAGGTCATCTAAAGTGTGATGCCCATACTGAAAAATATTGTTTTATTTGCCTTATAGATATATATGCTCAGGGTTCCTGGGCTTACTACCATTTGTAACTCATTATAGATGGAATTTCACTTGTTTATCTTGTTGCTGCAATGAGAAATAAATGAATGCATGGACCTTCATTCAAACACCTCAGATCTTTGCTTTTGTTATTCAACTGCACCCCACCTTTATGTCATGAAGAAGAAGCTGTGTGACACTGAAATTCCTTTTTGTGAGAAATCTCTTTCTGTAGCACCTGCGTTCTCCCCTGGGAAAAGCAAGCCGGAAGTCATCCTGTGATGTACTCTCTCAGAGAAGATAAAAGGGCTGATCCACAGTTACAGAAGGGCACATGGTTGGTAAAGCCATGAAAATTTGGGAAAGGAGAGTCATGATGTTATCCAAAGAGTAAAAAAAATCATCTCAGCATAGTATGGCCACCATGCCATCCGCTCTGCTAAAATAATTGAAGGGTTAAAACAAGGAAAATCCTTTAATGGAATACCTAGGTAAAAAGTCAGAGCCCTTCTCTCATCGGTGACCTAAGTAGCCTCCAATGGAGAGTCAGGAAATCTTTTCTCATTCTGGCTTTACTATTCACCAGCCTCTAGGGTTTTAACATTTACCATGTCCTTCTCTCTGACGTTAGGGAATTGAATTGGATGAATCAATTTCCGGCTGTCACATTTTATGAATCTAGGGTCTCTGAGACAAAATCGAAGTTAATTTAGTACCACATTAGTCAGAAAGGCCAGTCTCTGCTGTGACAGGAAAGAAAAGGAGTACTGCAGGAGTCTGTGATGGTTGACTTGAATATGAAGGAAAAGAGGCAGTGTAGTGGGTAGCTGGAGGTGTCACATGGGCAATTGAAACCTGAAGCTCCCTGGCTTTCCAGAAGCACTGACAAATCCAGGAAGCTGCCCCAGTCTGGTCTTATCACATGACACTGAAGAGGGAGGTGAGTGGATTCTTTAGGCCAATGAATTGGATACATTTCTTTTTTTTAATGTAAGGGTTGAAAAGAGCAGATGTGGGTGCCTACATGTTTATCTTGAACAATGCAATAGACCTTAATACATTTCTGGCATATGAAATGCCCACATGCTGTGGTCCCCAGGTGATCATGGCATTCTGCGCCATGTGTGTCCTGTATTTTAGGGTTCTTTTCCTTAGCCCAGCAAGTTTCTATGATTTTGACAAGTTTGTATTTCAGAAGAGTGAGCTGTCAACTGCAGGTTACGTGAAAACGGCATTGCTGGTATCTAGGCCTGAGCAGGAACTCTAGGAATAATTAGCATGAACCAGATTAAGACTGGAATTTTGAAAACTGTAAGTGTAAATATACTAGCAGTCTTTATGAGAGAGCAGAAATGTCCATTCCTGCAGTCTCTGCACACAGAGAACACAAGTGAGATGCAACCCAGTGAGTTCTCAGAGGAGGAACTTCTGGTTCAGGTCTAAGTCCATAGTTTGGGGGTATCTGCCTCTAGTCCCTGAAATGAGCAATAAATTGAGCACCATTATTATAATTTTATGGAAGCCTTCACCAAGGAAGGGATGGAGGAAGGGTGCCCTCCCTTACTTTTGCTTGTATTTTATCTCAACTCTTCCAAAAACCTGGGGTCTCAATTCCTGAGTTTTTGCCAAACCCCTTCATGAGTATCCCATGCTTGATTTGCCATAACCAAGGTAAAGAGACTCTTTTTTTTTTTTTTTTTTTGCGGTACGCGGGCCTCTCACTGCTGTGGCCTCTCCCGCTGCGGAGCATAGCCTCCGGACGCGCAGGCTCAGCAGCCATGGCTCACGGGCCCAGCCGCTGCGCGGCATGTGGGATCTTCCTGGACCGGGGCACGAACCCGCGTCCCCTGCATCGGCAGGTGGACTCTCAACCACTGCGCCACCAGGGAAGCCCAAAGAGACTCTTTAAAAAGACTCAACGCAATATAACCATGGCTGTTAATGTGATAATACCTCTTCAGTGATTTCTGTGATCTCTAACTGCCTTTGCTTGGGAAACTGCAGCCTCTGATGGCACTACCAGCTCATTGTTGAAGTGGGAGATCAGGTTCAGGTTATGACCGTCTTGGTGTCCTCCTCATCATCTTGTCACTTTAGGGCTCATTAATCAAGGTTGTATTGATTGTATGTTGGATGTGGATTAATAATGTGGTTTAGGAGTCACCGGGGCTACAGGAACAGTGAAAATAAAAGCTGAGAAGTGACAAGTTCTTCCCAGTACATGGAGTCAATAGATTAAAAAGCATGAAAGAAAAGTCTGTATACATGGAGAATAGATCCAGAAATTCTATATTCTTTCTAATGTGAATTCCAGATGGGAAGATTGAGAGAATAGAGGACATGCATGAAAGAATAGAAAAGAATTTCCCCTAAATAAATGGCAGTGAAGGGAGATTTTTGCTTTAAGCTTGGAGAGGTGCTTCGAGAGATGTGCAGTGAATACAGTGATTGGGTTTCTGGACCAAACTGGTAAAAATGAAAAAATATAAGCCATTCTTATACCTTTAAGTTCATGTGATGGATATTATTATTCTATTTTTAAGTCTAGCAAATTTTAATACTCAATTTTAAGGAGACTTTAATGTTTGGGTCACAGCTTTAAACTTAGATAATTAGATTTCCCTTTAAACTTCTTCACTATATTTATGAATTAAATATTTTTTATATTCTTAAGTACTTCAATTAACCAACAAATCTTCTCAAGTTGTTATTATTACAAACCTAATTTCTTAAACTTATAAATGTGGTGAAACTTAAGTTTTCTTAAATATTCCAATACTGTATAGACTTAGTGAGATTTCAACTGAAACTCGCAAGTGTAAATTTGTTAGTCAATTGCACACTTATAAATTGAACTTACACGACTAATCTGCATAGATGAAATTATAATATTTGTAAAATTATAAATACCTAAAATGCTACACATGCATCATTCCTTAAGGCACAAATATCAACGTTATGATTTTGATGCTCTTAAACATTTCTGTACTTAGCTCGAGTCTTTTCATGTTAAAATAGGCTTACTGTTAAGGAAATGTTGTTTATGACAGACAATGTCAGGGAACACCTAGTCTGCTTGTTGAGATATTGGACCCAGATATTGAATGGGACAGGATTCTTGACAGTGACCCTGATGGCATGTGCTGAATGCAGTTACTTATAGTCACTACGTCAAACCCTCCACACAGGCTGTCTCCCAGTCTTGCACAGCACAGGGAAGGTGCCTTCCCCAGCTGGAGTCATACTTAAAATTGCTTGTCTTTTCTGCCTACTCATGAAAACCTGCAATCCCCACCCAGGCTGTCATGTCATTTGATGGGATTTCATTATTCTTTAGCTCTTAAGATATTAACTATATTTCCTTCTAAGAGTAAAAATTTCTGAACTTGAGGTAATATTGCCCATTTTTTCCCATATATTTCCTATCTGATGAGACTGCTCCCTTTTTACAGATGTTAAGACGATAGCCTAATGAATTCTAGGTCACTCTCTTTTAAAGATAATTCAACAGCTCTGAGCTGGGCTGTCAGTATTTCTGAGCCTTTAACTCTTTAAAGCAGGGACAGCACAGCTGTGTTCAGTGCTGGTGTGAGTTTTGGGAGGAATTGATAAGATTAATGCAAAAGGTTAGAATGGAGGCAAGAAAGTGCCTCTTACCTGCTTCCTCTCATGATCTTGAGCTGTTCTGCCTGTTTTCAAGTGTCCTAAAGGGAGGGTTAAAGATCTTTACTAAGAAGCTGGGGGTGGAGCCCAATATAATCCCCCACTTGGTAACTGGTATCTGAAGCCAAAATACATACAGGCTCTAAAATGCAGAAAGAAGCCCAGCCAAGTAATCAAGGGGCTTAGCAATTGAGGTTGGAACAACTCTCTCATCTGCTCAGAAACTGACTCAGGTTCCCTTGGCCTCTCAGATCAATTCTAAATTGACTAGCACTGCACCTGAATAAAATAAAATCACTTTGAATGTATTTCAATATAGAGTTATACTCTCATATTGTCTAACATAACCCCTGTACCAATCATGCTGACTGCTCTCTGTTCCCTAAAACTTGTTTATTTTAATTTCCATGTCTAAGTTGTATTAACCACACTCTCTTCCCTCCTCCTCTTTGCAGCCTAGGTTCTGGAGATTCTTTAAGGCCCAGTTCAAAGCTTTTCTTTTCTGCTGCTTCATACCACACCTTCCTGTTTAGAAATTCCTAAACAGGAGCCCAGAGAGCGGATCATATGCTATTCAGTCCTCTAATTATCTCTGCACATACATGCTTCCTTCTTACTATATTATAATCTCCTAAAGGCAACCACACTTTTTTCGTCTCTATTGTAGCACCTAAGGAATCCTTCTCAACCTGTAGCATTGAAAGGTGAGCTAGAGGAGTGGAAAGGAGAGAGAAAATTCAAAGGAAGATATCATTTAGAGAAAATAGGTCCTCAGAGGTTGTCTATGGGTGAAGACTCAGACCAGAGTTTGTGACTTGTCTAAGATCATGCTGTCAATTAGTGGCCAAGCCCATGATGGGATAGATCAATAAATCTGACCCTGGGGCAGGGGTTGGGTGAGGGAGAGAGATGGCTCTTTCCACTTCAGAGGCTACATGACTGCACGGTGAATGGCTCAGTTCTTTCTTAAAGGGACCTGCCTTATTCTTAAGACCCTCTGTCCCCCAGCCCTGCTTTCCACACAAATGTCCCATTCAGAGGAAAAGACTTTGGCATCTATTTGAATATCTCTGGTGATTTGATTCTGTTCAGAAATTGTCTTAGTCAGTTTGGGCTGACATAATAGAACACCGTAAGCTGGGCAGCTTAAACGACAAGTGTTTATTTCTCACAATTCTGGAGTCTGGGAAGTCCAAGATCATGGTGCCAGCAGATCTGGTGTCTGGTAAAGGCCCACGTCCTGGTGGGAGAAACAGATGATCTCTCTCCAGTCTCTGTTTATAAAGGCGTTAAGCCCATCATGAAGGCTCCACCCTGATGACCTAATTGCCTCCCAAAGACCTCACCTCCGAATATACCATCACGCGGGAGATTAGAATTTCAACACATGAATTTTGGAGGTACACAAACATTTCGCCCATAGCAAAAATCCAGGAGAGGAATCGCCAGGACAGGGATGACCAGGAC